GCAATGTCAGATTTGTTGCTTTTTGATTGAAAGAAAACCAAGGCTTTATTTGCTCTTTCAGGTGGGTTTAAAAATTCCCTTGGCACTATTTTGATAAGAGTGGAGAAGATATCTGATGTCATGGCAATGTTTATCCCCCAACTTCTCAAAAACAGATCATCTGCTTGCTATTGCGTTCCAATCTTGAATAAGATGTCCAGTATTGTGCACAAGTACATTTCCCCACATTAGACTCATTTTGCCACATCTTTGCCCCCACTTAACCTATCAATATCTTTTTGTAACTGCATTGTATCCTCTTCACAGTTTACTTTCTATCTATCGTTGTGTTGTCAAATTTGGCAACCATTACCTCCATCCCTCCATCCCTTCACCTAAGACATTTATATAAATTATAAACAGGTTGAGATCCCAGCACAATCCCTGCAGGCATATCTTGCATACTGTAAAGGACCCAATTGCACCTCCTGTCTGCTTCCTGTTAGTCAGCCAATCATCCATCCGTGTTAATATGCTACCTACTATACTGAGCATTTATTTTCTGCAATAACCTTTGATCTGGCACCTTGTCAAATGTCTTCTGGAAATCTAAGTGCAATATATCCACTGATTCCCTTTTATCCAGAGCACATGTTACCTCTTCAAAGAACTCCAATAGACTGGTGAAATGATTTGCCTTATACAAAATCTGACTCTGCCTGACTACCTTGAATTTATCTAAGTCCTGCTATAACTACTTTACTTTTAAAAATAGTTTGTAACATCTTTCCAATGACCAATGTTCAGCTAACTGACTATCTTCTTCATTCTGGGCCATCTCCCTTTTTGAATGAAAGTGTTAGGTTTGCTATCTTCCAATAATAATGAGACTGCTCCCAAATCAAAAAAGTTCTGGAAAATTAAACCAATGCATCAACTATCTCACTAGCCATTTTACTCAGCATCACTTCTCTGGTGATTTCTGATGTTCCTGAGTTTCTTCCTCTTTTCCATTTCTTGATTTATCTCATCTTCTGGGATGTTACTTGTATCTTCTATAGTGAAGACTGCGGTAGGTTGAGCCAATACTGGTTCAGTTCACCTGTCATTTCCTTATTTCCTATTATCAATTCTCCTGTCTGATTTTACATACGACCAAATGGTCAATTGATTGGGAAATAAATTTCAACACAGGTAAATGAGATTACACAATTGGTAGGAATAGATAGGATACTAATTATAAGAAAGGTGCTAGCCCAGAGGGTTTAGAGAAACAATGGGATCTTGGAATACAAAAATATTGAACACTAAAATTTGTTTCACAGGTTAGCAAGGTCCTCAAAAAAACAACCCAACATGAGGCTTTATTCCTAGAGAGATAGAATTGAGGAAGATTTGCGAAATGTATGCATCTGCTGTCAGCAGATTGGTAAGGATGAGGTCATGTATGTTTTCCCTCTCTTGTTGGTTCCTTCACCACCTGCTACAGACCCAGTCTAGCAGCTACGTCCTTTAGGACCCAACCAGCACAATCATTCACACTGGTTCCAAAGCATTCTTGGTGGTGTCAATTGAAATTCCCCACCCAGAGTATATTTGTGCTGTTGCCACTCTCGGTTCTTCCTCTAAGTGTTGCTCAACATGGAAGAGTCCTCTATTCCTTTATTCATTAATGGGCTGAGGGCGTCGCTGACTTGCAGCATTTGTTGCCCATCCCTAATTGCCCAGATTGCATTTCAGAGTCCACCATATTGCTGTGGGTCTGGGGTCACATGTAGGCCAGACCGGGTAAGGATGGCAGTTTCTTCCCCATTAGATTCTTAATTCCAGACATTTTACTGAATTCAAATCCACCATCTGCCGTGGTGGGATTTGATCCTGGGTCCCCAGAATGGCATCTGGGTCTCTGGATTAACAGTCCAGCGATAATACCACTAGGCCATCACCTCCCTGAGTACTGATTCATCAGATGAGGGAGGAAAGTACATGGTAATCAGCAGCAGCCATGGGACTTCATGGGTCCAAGACAACTCCCTCCTGATTGTATACACTGTGTTGCCATCTCTGCTCGGTCTGTCCTGCCAGTGGGACAGGACATATCCAGGGATGGTGATAGTGATATGTGACGTAGTCATTCTCACAGAATCATACTTTATAGACGTTGTTAGGCTGTTGCTTGACTAGCCTGTGAGACAGCTTTCCCAATTTTGGCACTAGCCCCCAGCTGTTAGTAAGAAGGACTTTGCAGGGTTGACAGGACTACTTCTGCATTTGTCTTTTCTGGTGCCTAGGTCGATGCCAGGTGGCATGTACAGTTTTATTTCTTAGTTGAGACTTTGTAGCTTGATTGAGACAACTGAATGGTTTGCTAGGCTGTGTCAGAGGGCACTTGAGAATCAACCACACTACTGTGGTTCTGGAGTTGCGTGTAGGCCAAACCAGGTGAGGGTGGCAGATTTCCTTCCCTGAAGGACATTAGTGGATCAGATGGGTTTTACTGGCAATCAACAATAGTAGATTCTTAATTCAAGATTTTTTAAAATTGAATTCAATTTCAAGCATCTGCCGTGGCAGAATTCAAACCCGGCGCTTCAAACATTAGCTCAGTTTTTGGATCAATAGTCTGGTGATATTACCACAAGGCATCGCCTCCCCTATTTGACTATTATAGTACTCTCCTGGTTAACCTGTGGTGTTCTCCCTATAAAACTGAACTCATCCTAAACTCTGCTTCCCTTTTGCTTAACCTGAAGCAAAATCCTTTCCCCAGTTATCTACTCTAAATCCTTAGATCTTTCTCCAAGTTCTGGAGAGATCTAATTGAAACTTACAGAATACTGAATGGTCTGGATAGAGTGGATGTTGGGAAGATGTTTTCATTTGTAGGAGAGACTAGGACTCTAGGGCACAGCTTTAGAGTAAAGGGAAGACGTATTAGAATGGAGATAAGGAGAAACGTCTTCAGCCAGAGAGTGGTGAATCTATGGAATTCACTGCTATAGAAGGTTGTGGAGGCCAGGTCATTGGGTACATTTAAGACTGAGATAGATAGGTTCTTGATTATCAAAGGGATCAAGGGTGACGGGGAGAAAGTGGGAGAATGGGGTTGAGGAACTTATCAGCCATGATTGAATGGCGGAGCAGACTTGATGGGCCGAATGGCCTAATTTCTGCTCCTATGTCTTATAGTCTTATCCTCTGCACACTGACTATATATTGGCTTCTGGTGCAGCATCACTTCAAATTTAATATTCTCATTATCGTGTTCTCGATAGCCTCTTTGAGTTGTACGAGAATACAGTTGGCTATCTTATTCATGTCAGTTTCTCCACAGGCTTGCTTCTAGATTTTCTGCTAAAAGTAATTTCACTTTTCAATGCATTATGATTCCCGCAGTTCTTAATAGCCTCTAAATACAGAAGTTAAAGTGCTTCTGATTGAAAAGTTTGGATAGGTCAAAATATTTTAATAGAAATTATTATATAAAAATGAACTACCAGGAGCTAGTAATGTAATATATGGTGTTGTCTACCTTGTGCTACAGAAAACTTGGGCACAGTTTGAGCCTGAGATGGGCATTAAATTTCTAGTCACGTCTGCAATAATTTCAGCCAGCAGTAAATAGATGTTGCAGATAAAGATGATAGGTGAGGTAGAGCAAGGATGTAAAAGTAGGGCAAAGTTGTAAGTACTCCTTCTACAGAACCTTGGTTACTGAGAGAACAGACAAATGTTTCACAATCATAAGGGCTGGGTCCACAATTTATTAAAATTTATGAATGAGAAATCATGCTGGGGACATGCCCCGGATAGCACGTTCTTTTCATGGAACATGTCTTTCAAATGGTGAGCCCCAGGATGTCTTACTACAGAGAGTGAAAATCAGTTGAGACTTCCCCAGTTATATTTCCACATTTACTCATGCAACAATTTTTCTATCAAACAAAACTTTTTAGGTTTAGTGATTTTTTTTTTTTTTGTGCTGTAAACATGCATTTGATTGAGTTGTCAATTGATTCATTTTTGGAAAAATCAAGGTTTGTAAGTGCAGTATAATTCAGAAATGAGCTACCAAGTTTCAGCTCAGTATTTTTAATTTGCACATTACTAAACTGGTGGAGTAGGGCTTCTGATCCTGGGGCTTGTCTACTCTGTCCACTTTTCATTTCTTTTCCTTTTCTTCTTTCCTCCCTTGTTTTTTCTTTCTCTTCTATTTTATTTTACTTAGCTCTTGGTGAAGAGCTCAGTCATGGTGACAGCATCGACGGCAGCAAGTGGGCCCAGCATGCGATTGCATGGTGGTGGTGTTAAAGGCAAGTTTGTGTTCCTGGCGGCTTCTGCATTTTTGAGGCAGTCCTAGTGCTGATCCGTGGCTGCTCCTGTGGAGGAAAGTTTGGGTTCCTGGTGGCGTATGTGTCCAGTGCAGATTCATGGAGGTGGTGGCTGAGGCAAGTTTGGGCTTAGTACAAGACGTGGATGCATCAGCGTGGTGGGCCCGAAGCGGACTTACGGCAGTGGTGAAGTCAAGTTTGTGCTGGTGCAGTACCTGGCAGCATCAGTGGCATCTGCATTGGCGAGGTGAAGCGAGGACTCACTGGTGAGGCGCTGGTGGAGGCAAGATAGTGCCAAAGAGTGGTGACTTTTGTTCTGGTGGTGGTGTAGCGAAGGAGACTCATGCCTGGCCACCAGGCCCATGGCCCATGATGGAGCACTTAATGAGAAGGACTGTAAAGTTGAACACTTTCTTTATTTCTTCATTTTTCTGCCTTTATATTCAATGTTTTGGTTTATTTTTCTGTGTTTAAGATGGTGCTGAAGAGTGGTGACATTATACAACACTTTTCACTGTATTTTGTAACAGAATACGTGTGACAATGAATAAATCAAATGAAATTTTATAACTAACAATGGAATCTCTCCTTTCTAACTTGGATATTAATATACCTTGGATAGATTAAAGATTATGGATGATTACTACCACCAGTTCTTAGCAGCTTGAATATATTTTGTACTCTATTTGTTTCAGAGCTGAGAGATGTTGAGGTGGTTGCTGGGAGGAAGAGATGTGCAGGAGCCAGTGGAGGTACTGTATAAATGATTCATTCTCTAGCAGATCATTTTGTTTTCTACTTTGCTTTGTGCATCTACCAGATGGAAAAATTTACCATATATTTTCTCAAATAATTTTCAGGAATAGTTAAAGCAGCTCCCCGTTCTAGTTTTACCCTTTGTGTCATTAACTATCTATTGGATGGAATCAGTTAAAAAATTGGTATGACAATGATTTTCCAAACACTTTCTCAGTTTTCATTAAGGTACTTTTAAACTTACACTTCCTGCTTTTCTGTCCTAAATATGACTGTCCTGAAATTTGACTCAGCATAATAATGTCATTATAACACTATCTTATTACATGGCCTTATTATCTTTCCTATCTTTTACAGTGATAATCTTTGCCACTTTAAGTTTCAAGTGTCAGTTCAATTTTATAGTACTGAACAGTTATGGAAAGTTATTGCAATCATCCCTTACGACTTCTGTAACCGTTTTATAATTCATTTTGCTTTTATATTTTAGAAGTCTCTGGTTCTCTGCATGGGAGATGAACAACCGCAAAATCCCTATACAGAACTACAGGTACTGAAAGGCCACAGTGATATTGTTCGCTTCATGGCATGGATTGATGATCTCAGGTTAGCTTTAAAAAGAAGTTTATTTGAAGTTTGAAAATTTCATAACAATTCTGATGTTATGGAACCTTTCCAATTGATTTCAAAGAAGTCCAGTGTTTCCAGTCTAATTATAGTTACTCTGTGGATATAGTGGAGGAAAGAAGGGAGAAAACATTGTATTTGCAGCAGTTATGATCCTTTGTTTAATGAAAGCCTAATATCCTAATGTTCTTTTCCAATATTAAAATATAAAAGCTGTTTGATAATGTCTGAACATTGTAATGGGGAGGAAGTGGAAGAGTAAATGTATTGATTTTAAGTGACAAAACTTGCTAATGTGTTTCTTGAATAGTTGATTTCTCAGGCGAACCTGATTAATAAAATTAGTAAATGATGTGAAACAAAAACAGAAATTGCTGGTGAAACTCAGCAGGTCGAGCTGCATTTGTTGGGAGAAAGAATTCTTGTGATGAAGAGTCACCGGGCTTGAAATGTTAACTCCTCTCAGATGTTGTCAGACCTAAGATAACAGGTGTAGAGCTGAATGAACACAACAGGCCGAGGAGCAGGAAAGCTGACGTTTCGGGCCTAGACCAGACCTGCTGAGTTTTGCCAGCAATTTCTGTTTTTGTTTCATATAACCAGCATCTGCAGTTCTTTGTTTTAATTTAGTTAATGATGTAGTAGGCTATCAAGATTCACGCTGTCCACCAGTCATCTTGTTTGAAGAATTCCAACCCTGGAGCCATTGTATATTTCCCATTTACAACTGCAGTTAAAGCGTTAGCAAAATTTAATACCATACTTTTTTTGGTATAACTCAGTCAATCTGGCAGTCTGATAATTCATTCCCTACTGTTTCTAGTTCTTGCACTAGAAAATTGCAGTTTGTGATGCCAAATCAGCACCAGATTTGTACTGTAGATTTCTGAATTAAAACATTAGAAATGTACAAACTAAGAGCAGGCGCAGGTCATTTGCCCTAAGAACCTCCTCTGCCATTCAGCATGAACATGGCTGACTCTCCATCTCAGTGCCATATTCCAACTTTCTTCCCATATCCATTGATGTCTTTAATATTTAAAAATGTATCAGTCTCTCTCTTGAATATATTTGGTGATTTGGCTCTCGCAGCCTTCTGTGGTAGTGAATTCCTTAGGTTCACTATCCTTTGAGTAAAGAAAAGGTTCCTAATCTCAGTGTGACCCATATCCTGAGACTGGTGTTTCTTGAATCCCCAACCAAGGAAAACATTCTCCCTGCATCTAGTCTGTCCTATCCTGTTAGAATCTTATACGTTTCAATCAGTACCCCTCTCATCCTCTAAACCCAAGTGAAAACAGTCCCAGTCAGAGCAATCTCATCCTAGGACAGTCTTGCACTGCCTTGTAAGAGGCTGGTGAACCTCTGCTGCACTCCCTCTGTGGCAAGTTTATCCTTTCTTCGATTGGTGAACCGAGACTGCATGCAGTACTCTAGGTGTGGTTTCACTAAGGCCTTGTATAACTGCAGTAAGACATCCCTGCTTCTAAACTCAAATCTTCCCTGTAATGAAGGGCAATATACCATTTGCTTTCCTAATTGCTAGCCTTTCTAATTGTTCATCCACACTTGTCAGTATATCACCATTTAAATAAAACTATTCCCAATCTGATTTTTTACACCAAAGTGTATAACTTCACATTTAGCCACGCTGTACATCATCTGCCAAGTGTTTGCTCACTCATTCACTCAACTTGTCTAAATCTCATTGAACCCTCCTTTCATTCTCCTCCTAACTCAATCCTGTTCAGTATTGTGTCATCAGCAAACTTGGAAATCTTACATATCCCTCATCAAGGTCGTTTATATATTGTAAATAGCCCTGAGGCTCAAGCACCGATCCTTGTGGTACTCCACTGCTCACTGTCTGCCGGTCTGAAAAATACATTTATTCCCACACTCTGTTCCTGTCTGAAAACCAATTCTTGATTGATGCCAACCTCCTATCCTGTGTGCTTTAACTTTGCTCTTTAACCACTTATGAGGGTCTTTGGACTTTCAGATGGATTTTTGACAAATACACAGCATCCACTGATTCTCCCTTATCTATTCTGCTGATTACATCCTCAAAAAACTCCAATAGATTTGTCAAGAATGACTGGCATTCTATAAAGTCATGTTGCTTTTGTCTATCCTGATAATGCTTTCTAAATGTTCTCTGATCAGTTTTGACTCTAGCATTTTTCCCACTGCTGATGTTAGATTAATTGGTCTGTAATTCTGTTTTCTATTCCTCTATTTTGAAATAGCAGTGTTACATTTGCCACCCTCCAATCTGAGTTTGTAGAACTTTGATGATGACGACCAATGCATTTTCTTTTACTACTCTGTGATGCATATTATGAGGCCTTGATGATTTGTTAGCCTTTAACCACATTAATTTCCCCAGCATCATTTTCTTACTAATCTTCAATTTCACCCTCTCACTAGACTCTTCGTGCGAACCTTTCTGGGAGTTATTTGTGCTGGACAGGACCAAAATGTGTGTTCAATTCATCAGCCATTACTTTGTTCGACTTTATAATTTCTCCCCTTATGACTGTAAGGGGCCTAGATTTGTCTTTACTAGTCTTTTTCTCTTCATATATTTATGGAAGCTCCTTCAGTCAGTTTCTGTGTTTCCTACAATTTTACTTATACATGTAATAAATTTTAAAAGTCTCCTCTTTGGATCTAATACTGTCCATAATTTATTTGTAAGCCACAGTTGAGCCACCTTCCCTTTTTTATTTTTGTGCCAGACAGGAATGAATAATTGTAATTCTGCACATGTTCTTTAAATATGGACTTTTGCCTACCTGTTGTCAATTCCTTTAGTCAGGTTCCCCAGTCCATCCTTGACAGCTTGTATCTTATACTTCCCTTTATGTGGATTCAGGACCTTAGTTTCAGATTCAACTACATAACTCTCCACCTTAATGAAGAACTCCTACATGTTATGATAAGCCTTTGCAAATCCATTAACACGGATTCAAAATATAATTCTGAACATTTAACTGCACTGGTACAGGTAGTTATCTGTGATTATACATACCAAGAATATTAAGAATGAAGAGTACAATAGACCCAGCCATTGAAATATTTGAACATAACAGATTTGGTTATTGTTGCTGGTTAATTGGAAAGATGTGGATGGGTAGGGGCGTGCGGTGGGAGGGAGCTAACTGGGATTTATTGTGTTCTAATTTTTTTTTTGAGGACTCATGCCAATTCCAAAAATTAGTTCATTTGAAGTATTGAGGAAATACTTTTTTTTAAAGGAACACTGGGACACTTTTCTTGTTCAAAAACACTTTTCTGAAGTTACACTTCAAAAGTCACATGTTTTAAGCTAAATAAACAGCCAAGGTTGATAGACTGTAGAACTGCTTGAACTTACTGGAAGTCGTCTGTCTGAGTTTATGGTTGTCGGGAGTTTTGGCTCTTTGGTTTTGTTTGAAGTTCAGTTTGGGTGTACCTGTGAAGAGAGATGATCCCTAGCTAAGCCTTTGCCACCTATCTGTGAAATTTTGAAGAACTGAAATAGCTTTATTTGTCTTTATAATAAATCAATAATTTTGTTTTCTTTTAAGAATCCTGGTTGATGTAATTTATTCTCAACTTAATGTAGATAAAATATGTAATTGTTCATTCTGTAACTAGGTAAATTATTTGAATTCATGTTGTGACTAGTAGAGTAGTTGTACTAGGGAAAGGTTGCACTCCTTCACGCCTTGACATGTCACATATATAGTAGTTGATGGAACTAAGTGAGTTGCAATTTGGTGGTAAATGTTCGAAAGTTGAATTTCTATAAATAAAAACCATAAAATGTGTAAAGTCTAGGCTGCAGTTCTATCGTTTGTTGTCTGGCTGTCTGATTTGTAACAGTTGAGCAGTTAAAATATTGCAGAAAGCTTACTTCTGGTTTCCTCATGTGCTTCACACCAATACTGACTTTTTAAAGTGGCAGTGTCCCTCTTAAAGTATGCAAATCAGAGTCTGATGATGTCGTGGAGCCGTGATTACAATTTTAACTCCAGTATGAAGAGGGTAGCACCTGGGATTCATTTTACCTTGTGCTCATCTGAAACCTGAATCTAGTTATAATTACTCATCTAATATAGCGCTAAGTGTTATTTTTTCTAAAGATTTCTTTTACACACACAGTAACATTTTTAAACCAATGATGTAATCAGCAGTTTTAATGCTTTATCTGGGTTTTGTAAATTCCAGTATTTAATTTAGAGAGACTAATTTTTATGTCAACTTTTTTTAATCCAGGTTTGCTTCAGCAGGGGATGATGGTGTCGTGGTTGTGTGGAATGTCCAGGTTAGTATTTTTTTTGAACTGCTTTTGTTAATGGTTTTTGGCTTCCTCGCCTTGCCTACTGGTCATCGTACAGACGTGTTGTCACCACGCTGGGTAACATCATTAGTGCAGCCTCCGGTGAAGCGATGTTGTTCTACTCCACTTGGAATTTATGTGATCTGGTCTGTTAAGTTGCGTTGCGTCATTTCTGGTTCTTTTCTGCATGGGTTTGTATATGGAGTCTAATTCCACATGTTTGTTGATTGCATTACAGGTTGAAAACCAGGCCTCTAGGAATTCCCATGTGTGTCTGTGTTTGGCTTGAGCTAGGATGGTCACGTTGTCACATTTAAATTGATAGCCTTCATTGCACTGAGATGAGGGAAAGTTTGTCGTGTTGTTTTGCTGCTAGCTGGTGGTCATGTATCCTGTTGGCTAGTTTCCTTCTGGTCTGGCCGATGTAATGTTTGTTGCCGTGATTGCAAGATATTTTGTAAACTATGATGGTCATGTTGCTTTTGTTAAAATTATCGTGAAGCATGTATTTAATAATGGTCAAGCCAAATTTATATTCTATAAAGATCAGGGTGGTCCTAGGTTTGAACGAATCTGTGCTAAGTTAGCTAATTGCACCTAAAGTTTTGATTATGGGTGCTGCAAGCACCCATCATGTCCCTGAAAAAGGAGAGGAGGATTACTCATAGTTTCTGATCATTGTCCAACAGCCCTTGCCATATGTGTGCATTGATTGAGAGAATGGATTTAGTTGAACTTGACGGGCTGGTGGTTTACTTACCCACATTAGCAAAGCTCATTCATAACTTGTCCCAGTGGTCATTATTTATCAGTGGGTGCTTAGGATCTAGAAAAACCACTCTGGTGAAGAGCTGTCCCTTTCAGAAGGGAATGGGAGAGAAAAACATTGGTAGAGTGTAAATAAAAATAAGGAAGGCATTTTATAACTCTGCAAGTAAGAAGTAGTAATGGAAATTGTAGATTTCTCTTTTTAAATATCATTACAAGCCTTAGTTTTTGTACGAGCCTTAAATGTAAAATGCTGCATGCTAGAAATTTAAATAAAAACAGTACTTTCTGTTTTTATATGCAAGTCTTGTTTGTTAGAAATTTTAATTTTTTGAACTCTACTTCAACTGCAATTTATAAGAATTCCTTAAATGATGAGCTTTGGGGAGTGCAGCTGAGAATACAACAGGCATCCAGAAGATGGTGCATTTTCCCATTATTTGTCATACATCGAAGCTGTATGATTTGATTCATACCTGGATGAACATTTACAAAATGACTTTTCTTTTGCAGTTACAAATTTTGTTTCTCTGTTAATTGACTTGTCTGTGGCTATATTTAAGATGATCATATTTCCTTTACTTATGCTTAATTAAAGTTAAAGCTTGTGTGATAATCTGCAATTATGACGATTGCTGTAATATGAGCCTTATAATAAAGGCCTTGAGATCTTCTGATCCTAAAATGATTTCTTGTTCTTAAACAAGAAACACAAGTTCATTTTCAATGTGCCTTTTTTTGCATAATGGGTAGGAGGCAAAATGATTTCACTGTTAGAAAAATGGTGCACTTTTTGAAAAAGGTACCTTTCGTGAAGCTACATTACATACGAAAGGCTCCTTGCGATCTATGAAAAGGAAAAATATTGATCACTATTAAGGATGTAGAATATATTAGTAAGAAGAAGTGCTTATGTGTAGAAGAGTACCAGCAAATAGTTATTGAAGTACCTCATCTGGAATATTTGCACCTACAGATCTCCAAGGGCAGCTGAAATTATGCTTTTTGTATGTTAGAGATTCGAAATAATTGAAGAATGATCATAACTTTATTATTATATTTTAAAAAGGTGCAACATGTAGAAAATTAATAGAATAGTAATGAACTACCTGCCTAAGGAAAGTCTTTGAAACCATCATTTGAAAACCAGTTGACGAGCTGTATTGACAAACTATATAATGCTGTAAATCACTCAGCACAGCTTATGTTTGTATGTACTGGGCAGCTTCTCAACTACACACATAATAGACAGGGCAATTCAGGTCTGTGTTGGGTTTCAATTTGTATAACATTTAAATACACTTTATTTGGAAATCTGTGAAATACTGAATTACTGAATTAATACAAAGTAAATAGTAATATTTGATTTTTTAAAGTGCTTTTGACAAGTATCAACATTGGCAGTTAATAACTAAAGGAAGTAAAGAGAGAGATCTGAATTCAAGTATGTTGCTGGATAGAAAGTACGCTTACAATTGGGCAATAACATATATTAGTACTATTTTAGACAGGAAAATGTTTAGAACCGAGTTATAGGAGGTGTCGGTGTTCCAGCAAGTGGTGTTCAGGTTTGTAGATATGGAAGAAGGTGCCAGTAATGAAGAACAATACAAACAAATACAACATGCAGATGAGTCAAAGGTTGGAAGTGCAGTAAATAGCAACAAAGATTGTAATAAAATTTGAGGACACAAGCTGATGGAATGAGTAGCTGCAAAGTAGGTGGAATTCAATGCAGGAAAGTATGAAGTGATACTTTTTGTAGCAAAATTAAGGAGAGAGAGAGATGCAAGATAAATAATACAATTTTAAAAGCTGTCAAGAGTGAGAGAGATCTGGAATGTTTGTGCACATATTTCCAAAATTGTAGGAAGTGTTAACAAAGCAATTGATAAAGCATTTTATTCTTATTTTTAATGGGACATGAATGTCATTGGCAAGGCCAGTTTTTGTTGCCTGCTCCTAATAGTCCTTAAACTGAGTGGCTCACTAGGTCATTTCAGACAGCAGTTAAGAGTAAACCACATTTGGTTCTGGAGTCACATGTATGCCAGACTAGGTAAGGGTGGCAATAGCTGGAGTAAGCTGTTACTGAGAATAAGCTTGCAAATTTTTACCAACCCATTCAGAAACTTTTGAAGATGTTTTGCAGTGGATATTGATGAACTTCTGCAAGTGATGTAATATGAAGTGGTTTAATGAATTCAAGTTTTTTTTTAACAAAAGCTACATCTTGTGTTTATAGACTGGAGAAAGAGTTTATGAACTTCGAGGCCATTCTAGACCAATAACAGCAATTGCTATCTTTCCATCAATGCATCATTTACAACCAGAAAGTCGCCAACTCCTCACTGCGTCCTCGGATAAGACCGTCATTGTATCCTAATATCCTGTCAGGAGAATGAATGATTAGCCTGTCAAAGTACATTGCTGTTTGTTCATTCACTTGGTTGAAGAGTTTTCTGTTCCATATATCTGTTGTAATCCAACCTTTGAATTCCTAACAGTGCACTTAATTTATTGTTGCTAACCTCTGATTTGCAGTCTTAGTCATCTGGCTTCCATCATGCTAATATTTTCAACTATCAAGTTTAAAGTAAAATGACAAGTTTGATTGGGTAGGTTTTAAACCTGCCAGCTGCTTTAGTTTGGAAAAGCGATATAGTAAATTGAATTGGTAAGACTAATTATGACGATTGTGAAAGATTACAAGAGACCACATATTGGGCTGATAGGTGGCTTATACAGACCACTGCAGAAATGTGAGCACATTTTGAAATTAAAATGTTATAGAAATCGACTAACAAACAGGCTGAATATCACCTAAAGAAAGCTGTAGAGGTGAAAGTAAGCAATGTTTTCAGTTTCCCACACACCTTTCATTCCCAGTAATTTTAGAAAAAGTGTATCCTATTAGGGAAAGGAAATACATTTTGTCAGTTAAAATTTAAAATAAACTTTAGGACTGGGCAAATACAGTGGCAAAACAAGTAAATAGAAAAAGCCATTAAAAAAAAACCAAAGAAAATCCTCTTAGTTCTATAGTTGGCTGTATTCAATTCTAAAATGTAGTGGCAGTGTTGAAAGTGTACAAGATCTTCAACTGCATTTAACAAATATGAAAGCAAGAACATCATTTAAAATGATTTAATGTTTTTCCTTTTGTGTGCTTATGTTTCTAGTGGTAATTTGTAACATTGAAATCCAGGTTGTAGGAATGCTCATTTATTTCTAGAATAATTAGTAAGTCATATAAACATGTGCGAGCCACTGCCCTGCTTTGTTAACTCCAATGTGGTTATCTTATGCAACTGTTTTGAGGCTTTCCTCTTCTGATTGATGCTGTGTAACTACATAGCTAAGAAAATAAGTCATTTTGTTAAGAGCTTCCAGAACAACATGCAGGTTTCAGGCCAATCCACATTTAACATCCTGTTCTGAAAATTGCTGGGATTTCAATGGCTGTGACAAGTTCCACCACAGCAGTTGAGACAATTTGCATTTGAAAACAATCAACAATATTCTAACACGACATCCCACAACTTTCTAAAAGAGAAAGTCATTGCTCTCCATCTCCCAACGTTAATGGATCATTTTTAAAAAAAATTTGGGATCTAGATCTGAATCTTTGCCAAAAATGAATAATTTCTTTCTTGGATCATACCCTAGTTGTGAACTATGGATCTATCCATCAGGTTTGGAGACATATTGTTATAGACATTGACTAAAGTTTCTAGCAATGTTTCTAGTTCTCATTCCCAGACCTCTCATTCCCAGTAATTTTTAAAAAAAGTGTATCCTGCTAGGGGCTTCCAGAGACAGTAGCCTCCCAGTTTCACCACCACCAACACCCCCCACCGCCCCAAGCACTTGTGTCTTTGCCTGTAATTGGTCAGCCCTGATTTGGCCCATGGAGAAGCCATACTGTAAGGTGAGGGAAATCTTTTCTGAAGTTTTGCTCAAATCTGTGTTTTCTCATCGGTTACTTGTGATATTGTGGGGATGAATTTTCCTGCCACCTCCAAGTATTTTAAAGCCTGATCTTTACCGATGGTCATCTGTTGTTACGTTTAATAGCTTAGTTTATTCATCTTTTCTAAACAATAGTAATTGCTGATATGACAGATTTCAATTATTAACGATAAGTACTTGCCTGAGATCACCAATCTGTTTGGGTAGAGAATCTATTCAGATATGCAGTGAGTTCCACATTCTTGCCACCCTTTGGTGAAGAAGTTTTTACTGAATTCTTTAGGGATTTATTATGACTGTCTTATACTGATGGCCTCTCGTTACATATTTTCCCATAAAAGAAAGCATCTCTCTCTATATACTCTAACAAAATCTTTTTGAATTTTACAGTGTTCTTATTAGTTAATTCCTCAGCATTATTATCAAGAGGAGACCACACCTATCAGTCTTTTCTGATAGATATACTTTTCTTAATCTTCCCTGCACCCTCGCCACTGCTTCAATATCATTTTTATAATGCAGCAACCAGAACTTCATGTGGTGCTGTTAAGTGTGATCTAACCAAAGTTCATACACGATTGCATAACTTGCCACAATTCTAATCCCTGAGAAATAAAGTCAAATGCTTTGATTGTTCTTTTTTAAATGGCCTTGTGAACCTGTGCTGTGATGTTTAGTGATTCATCCATTTGTTTCTGCACCATCCAAGGAATAAGTGACCTCCACGTTGTTCTTATTTCAAAATCATCTGTGTTGAATTTCATTTGCCAAGTATATATCCATGCTTGAACTTTATTCATTCCTTGTGCACTTTGTTGCAGTCTTCCTCAATGTTGACTCTTGCCCCAATTTGATGTAATCTGCAATTTTTCAAATGGTTTTTGAAACAAGGAATTCTGAAGTTATGCTCAGGTGGTTAGTGATAGATTCCACCAGATATAGGTGAGATTCTGTGCAAGGGCATGATTTTAAAGATCAACACAAAAAAGCATTAAAGAGGTTAATTAAAAAAATGTCTTGACATATATGTTGGTTGAGCATTGAATTTTCTGTTACAAAATTTTTTTGAAGCAGAGTCTGTAAATACTCCAGGTTAATTACCTAGCTTCTTGAAAATGTGTAATATTAAAGAATATGGAAAGCAAGTCACATAATTGGAGATAAGGTAAATTAAATGAGCAAGCTTTTAGCTGGTTGTCTTGCTGCTTTCATATCTTTTGACCATTAATTATTGCAAACCAAACAAATAAATCTCCAGGAGTTTGTAATCATACATTTAAGAAGAGAGCCCATATAATGTGCTATTTTTTGCAGAATATACCCTATGATGTGGAAAAGATTGTCTTCAAAATTTTGTCAAGTCTTCTAACAGCTCAACAATGTTCCTTTTTGGAGAAACATCCTGACGCAACTTTATTTATTTGTAAAAATGTTCCAATGTCAGATAGGTCTGAAAAATGAACAGGTGGTGAAGAAGGCAAATAGAATGTTGGTCTTCACAGCGAGGGGATTGGAGTACAGGAGCGGGGCTGTTTTGCTGCAATTGTACAGGGCCTCGTTGAGACCACACCATAGTAATATGTGCAGTTTTGAACATCTTATGAGGAAGGTTCTGACTATGAAGGGAGTGTAATGAAGGTTCACTAGACTGATTGCTGGGATGACATAACTGACAGGGTAAATGCACGAATGATGTTCCTGAAGACTGGGAGTCCGGAACCACGAGTCATTGTCTAAGGATATGAGGTAGGACATTTAGGACTGATATGAGGAGAGTAGTGAGCCTGTGGAATTCTCTGGCACAGAAAGCCATCGAGGCCAAAAACTTTAATGTTTACAAGGAGTTAGATATAATTCTTGGGACTGAAAGGATCAAAGAGTATGGGGAGAAAGAGGGAACAGAGAACTGAGGTGGATGATCACCAGCCATAGTCATACTAAATGGTGGAGCAGGCTTAAAAAGTTGAATGGCCATTTCTCCTATTTTCTATGTTTCTAAAATGTTAAGGCGCTGAGCAATCTTGCATCATTCTCCAGGTACACTTCACATTTAGCCTACCTGGTTTTTATTTTCTGTTGCTTTATGGCTTAGTGTCAATTTGGGTTTGTTCCTAAATTGATGAATCTTTGCTAAGCACGTTTGGGTGTGCTGTGTCAGCTATTTCACTGCAGTAATTTTCAAGGAAATAAGACTGATGCAATGGGTCCCTAGGACACTAGGTTTAATGTTTACTGTTTTGGAAAAGCTAAGTATTTCAGTTCTTCAAAATTAATTTTGTATAGTTTTTCCTTTACTGATGCAGCAAGATCTGGGATTTAAACACTGGCAACCAAATCTATTTGTTGACGGAATTTCAGTCCTCTGTTAAGGTAAGAAAAGTCTATAAGATGGGTATAAGATCTGAGTGGCTTCAGGTGGAACATTATAAACAAAACTTTTTTTTAAACAATGCTGCAGTTGCTGGAAATCAGAAAAAAAGATAAAATTCTTGAAGCACTCAGCAGATCAAGCAGCAACTATTAGGGATCATTGACTTGAAATGCTAAACCCCCTTTCCATGCTTCACAGGTACTGCCTGGTCTGCTAAGCATTTACAGAATTGTCTGGATCACTGACATTTTTCTCCTCATTTAGTTCAGTGTCACGTCTCTTCCATGAATGCCCACCCTAAGTTTTCTTTTCTTTAATGTAATTTCAGTTTATCCCTTCCCCTGTTTACATAAATTCCTGTCTGTTTCTCTTGTGAAGTAAAAGTGAAGTTGCCATAGTCCCAGCGGACTTTCGCGTTAGAGAGAGACAACTAATGATGGGTTACCGTGCCTCAGGTGAGAGGGGAGCTTGAAACCTTCATAGTAACCTCAGTTGGTCTAGGAATTGAACGTGCATTGTCATGTATTTCATTATGCGTTAAGTGGAGCTTGCTTTTACAATTACGTGGAACTTGCTTTTATAAGTTGCTCTCCACAACAGTCTCCAAGTTTCAATGAGACATAGATGTATGGCACAGCAGGAGGCAGTTTGGCGAGTTGTTTCTATGCCATCTGAAAAATAGCTGCCTTTAAAGATTTGTACATATTCACTTCAACATCCCTGTTACTCCATCATTTGATGCTTCCTTGTTTTGTTCTCCCAATGCATATGTCCTCATACCCCTCTCCAGGTAGAATTCCATTTGCTATTTTTCTATCCATTTTGACCAGTCCATTGATATCATTGTGTAGTCTTATATAGCTTACTGGACTCTCCCTCTCAACATCTCCCCTCACCCGAGGCATGCTGATTCTTCAGGTAAACCATCACCAGTCATCTCTGTCTCCAATGGGACCATAACCCGAATGTCCTCTGGGACTATAACATCTTTACCTTTTACTGCCTCATCAACCCCACAATGAAATTTTGTAATCTTGCAACTTTCTTCTTCACATTCCCTACAGTTGAGTCTAAATAATTGTATGGCACAGTCAACACTGGCTCCAGTATTGAGCCTTGCAGAACTCTTCTGAAACAGTCTTCCAGTTCTAAAAACCTATATCAAGAGTAACTCTTTGCTTTGTGCAACTGAGCCAATTTTAGATCCAACTCCCCACTTTCTGGTGGATCCCATGACTGTTATTTTCTGATCATTCTGCCATGAAGACTGTATTGAACACATGACCCTTGTTAATACCTCAAAACTTAAATCAAGTTGATCAGCTACATTTGCCTTAAATATCCATGCTGATTGTCTTTGCTTTAATCTGTGCCTTCCAAAATTACATTTTTTCCAGCACCTTGCCCAACACAATGGTTAGGCTGACTGGCCTGCAATTACCTGAAGCTATTTTTTTTAACCAATTATGTAGTGTCAACAATCCTCCAGAACCTTGCCTGTAGCGAGGGGGATTTGGAAATGGTTCTGTGAGCTTCAACTATTGCTTATCTTCGGCAAACACATGGCAGATGCATTACAATATGACTAAATGGGAAGTTATACAATACAAGTTCAAAAACAAAAAGGAAGAATATTATTTAAGTAGTGGTATATTGGGAAGTTGGAACGGGTGTTCTTATACACCAGTCAGTGAAAATACAGGCAAGTGCAGCAAGTAATTAGGAAGGCAAATGGTACATTGGCCTTAATTGCAAGAGGATGTAAGTACAGAAGTAGGAATTTCTGCAGTTACACCAGGCCTTGGTGAGACCACAGCTGGAGTATTGCATGCAGTTTTAGTTTCCCCACCTAAGAAATTATATCCTTGTCATTGAGGAAGTTCGGTGGAGGTTGATTGTGCTGACATCAGGAATGGTAGAACTGTCTTTTGAGGAGCAATTGGTTCTAGTGGCCTGTATTCACTAGATTTTAGAAAGATGAGAAGGTATTTGATTGAAATGTGTAAAATTACAACAGGGCTGGACAGACTAGATGCTAGTGGGATGTTTTCTTTGGGAGTCTAGAACATGTTAGACCAATTAGAACTGAGATGAGGAAAGATCTGTTCACTTAAAAGGTAGTGAACCTGTAGAAATCTCTTCCACAGAAGACTTTGGAGGCTAAGTCATTGAATCTATTGAATAAAGTTTTTTTTTAAGATTTTAAAGGCATCAAGGGGTATGGGGAGAAAATGGAAAAATGGCATTGAGATAGAGGATCAACCATGTTCAGATTGAATGGTAGAGCAGGCTCAAAGAACTGAATGGCCTATTCCTAGTTACTATGTTTCCCCTGCTTCCCTTAGTAGTTGAGATGCGTTTCTTCTGGATCTGGTGATTTATCCATTCTGACGAATGTTAATCATCTTAATATTTTCTCCCCCACTATATTTACTCCAAGCAATTTTTCAGATGACTTCTCAGTTGAGGTGCCTGCATCATCTTGCTCTTTTGTGAAGGCCAACACATAGTCCCTTGCCCATGCCTTCTGCCTTCACTGCCAACTTAGCTGTTTAGTTTCTCATTCTATTCATTTTTCATTGTTAATCTCCTATTCCTCATGTTTATTGTAAAGCATCTTTGACAAATAAAGTCAAAAAGGATTTAACATTTAATATGTCTTCCCTCTGATTCCCTAATTTCCTTTTCAATTTCCTGCACTTTCTGTACTCCTCTTGGTTACTAGGTTTGGGAGTCCTGCCATTGTTTCTTTTGGAGAACATGTTTGGAATCTTTTAGCTACTCCTTGAATACCTTGCACTGCGTATGACACTGATTACCTTCAGATAGTTGTTTCTTGTGAACATTTGTCAAATCTCATCTTAGTTTATTGAAATAGATATTGCCCTAGTTTACAACTACTCTTTTTCATTTCTACATGAAATCTTAATCGAACTATGATTGCTGTTACTAAACCACTTTCTCACTGATGTCTCTTCCACTTGTTAAGATTTATTCCCTAAAACTAAGTACAGAACAGTTATTTCTCTTGATGGGTTTACTACATTCTAGCTAAAAATATTTCCTGAATACATTTTAAGAATTGTTACTTTTTACACTACTTATACTCCCACCGATTATGGGTATTGACGGATGCATCTATGGAAAGTAGATTGATGGGAATGAGGCCAAGTAAATTGTTCCCTCTTGACAATTTCCTCACCACCTGCTGCAGACCCAGTCTAGAAGTTGTCCTTTAGAGCTTGTAGAGCATGAGAAATAGAAGACCATGTGACCCCTTGAACCTCCTGTGTCCTTCAGTACCATCGTGACTGATTTTTTTTCTTCAGCTCCATTTTTTTTTTGTCTGCTCCTCGTATCCCATGACTTTCTGACGGACAGACATCTCCCAGTGTTAGGTGTAAATCTGTTCCACGACGGAGCACCCACAACCCTCTGGCTTTGAATTCCAAAGTTTCACAATCCTTTGAGTGAAGAAGTTTCTCCATCTCTGTATTAGATTCATCAGCCAAGGGAAATAATGGTATCTTCCCAGTCGATCCTCCCAGTCGATCCTCTCCAGATCTTCTATGTTTCATGTCTTGTTCTTCTAAACTTTAGAGAGTATAGGATCAATCTACTTAGCCTCTCATCGTGGGTGAGCCCTCTCATCCCAGAAATCAACCTAATGAGCGTTTGCTGTACCACCTCCATGGCAAGAGTGACCTTTCTTGGATATGGATACTAAAAACGTGCGTGATTCTCCAGAAGACTCGTATCAGACTTGAAACATTAACTTTGTTTCTAACTCCACAGATGCTGTCACACCTATGTTTTTCCCGCACTTTCTTTTTCTTTCAGATTTCCAGCATCCACAGTATTTTACTTTTATTTGTGATTCTCTAGATATGGTTTCATCAAAGCCCGAATAATTGTAGCAAGACTTCCTTATCCTTACATTAATTCTTGACTGAATACTAATGACACTGGTTTTATTTGTTGGCTACTTTTTTTCTATGCCTTGATTGGTAGAATATTTGATGAATCTGCCTCCTTGACTTGCACTTTGGAACAAATTTCAAACTATCTAATGCTTCCCTACTTTTAATTTGACCATTGATATAATTGAGGTATGTTTTAAATGAACCAAATGGGAGGGCAGCACAGTGGCTCAATGATTAGCACTGCTGCCTCACATCGCTAGGGACCTTGACTTCGATTCCAGCCTTGGGTGGAGTTTGCACATTCTCCCTGTGTCTGTGTGGGATGTGCAGGTTAGGTGGATTGGCCGTGATAAATTGCCCCGTAGTATCTAGGAATGTGCAGGCTGGATGGATTAGCCATGATAATTGTGGGGTTACAAGGATAGGGTAGAGTGCTGGGTCTGGGTGGGATGCTGTTCGGTGAGCCGGTGCAGAGTCAGTGGGCCGAATGGCCTCTCTTCATGCCGCCGGGATTCTGTGATTCAGACAAATTACTTTTCTTAAAAGGAACACTTTTTTTTTTCTGTTTTAATAGCTATCTAACCTTCCATCCCATGCATGGAAGCAATATGCTCTAACCATGTAAAATTACTGGAGCGGATGATCTACGCATTTTTGCATAGTACCGGTCTAAGAATTTGAATTAAAGGTTGTGCCGGGATAAGTTTGCTGGAGACTCATGTTTTAACAATCATTATGTTTGCAACTTTATCATTTAGCTTGTTTTGGCAGTGTCTGATGACTATCGAAAGACTTGATGTGTGGTTGTCTGGAGCAGATAAAGTATGCACTTGGAACTGTCAAGCAGAATTGCTCTGCAAAACAGCTTGCTTTAAAGATGCAGGTATTATTTTAAACTGCTCTTATTCAGGCATTCAGTTCCATATTTCAGTTTTTATTACAAATACGTTTCTTTCCAAGATAAATTTTCAAGAAATTTTTTCTTTCTTGGGATAACTAATCTTGCATGGAAAGTTGCAGTATCAAATCAGTTTAACCTGTTACTAACATACCAATAACAACTTGCACCTAGGACATTTAATAAAGGAAGATATCTCAAGGCATATGACAGTGATATCAGTAAAACGTTTTGACATCCTCTGACACTAAGACATAGAAGGAGAAATCATGAAATGTGTGCAAAAGCTTGATCAAAGTAATAGATTTTTAGGAGCATATTAAAGGGAGAGAGAGGTGAAAATGTTTAGAGAGCTTATGGCTAAGGTGGCTGAAAATACTGCTACAAATCATGGAGTAACTGAAATTAGGGATGTGCAAGAGACCAGAATTGGAGACTTTCTCAAAGATGTGCACAGTTGGAGTAGATTACACTGAAGAAAGCATAGTTAATACATTGATAGGGGCTTTAATGTTCATCACAGCCTGGCTTTGTGGCATCACTGACCAAACTCGCTGAGTCATGGAGGAATATCTGTCAGGCAGATAGGTTTTGAGAGAACTAATAGGCAAGAAACTACTTGAGTCAATACAGTGTGGAGCTGGAGGAACACAGCAGGTCAGGCAGCATCAGAGGAGCAGGAGAGTCGACGTTTCAGGACTGGCTGATGAAGGGTCTAGGCCCGAAACGTCGACTCTCCTTCTCTGATAATGATGCCTGATATGCTGTGTTCCTCCAGCTCCACAATGTATTGATTATGACTCCAGCATCTGCAGTTCTTGCTGTCTCCAAAAAACGACTTGACCTTGCACTTGTCAGTTTGCCTATCACAGATATATTTGTCCATTGCAGATTGGTAGGAGTGTGTCTTGGATCACAGGGTGTATCCAAGCGGTTCTTTTTTGATTGAGTTTAATGTAGTTAAGAGAAGACTCAACAACAGCAATTTGTTTAAATACGAACATTTTACAAAGTAATAAAAAAAAGAAAAATAAAGCAATGACCCTCACGCCCTCCTGCACATCGGGGACCCCTCAATCGACAGCTGGTCTGGAAGCTTGGGTTTGTTCCTGGCACCGTTCACAATCCTGGTCCAAGGTGAAGTCTGATGACTTGGAACAAAACTCACTCTCTTGTACAGTGTAACAAGCAGCCACTACAGAGAAGCAACTTTGATTATGCCATCTTTGGCACGTACAGGAATGTTCACACGACTCATTCAAGATCATGCATCTGTTGAATATCATCAATTTTAGCCCTTCAGCCCATCCTATACAGAGTGACAACTAAATGATCCTTTATGGAGATGAGTCTCATTCTCACACTGAAGACCCACGCCACCATGGTGTGGGACATTACCACCATGCTGAATAAGATGGATTTAGAACTGATCTAGCAGCTCAAAGCTGGGCATTCAAGAAATTCTGTGGACCAATAGAAGCAGAATTGTATTTCCCTAAGTCTGTCATTATCCTGAGAGCATCAGTACTGATTCAAGGGGGAGTGCAGGAGACCATGCCAAGTGTAACACGCGGCATATCTACAAATGAGTTGCCATCCTAGTGAAACGACAACTCAGAACCATGTATATGCTAAATGGTGGAAATAGCATGCAATATACAAAGTGAAGAGTGGGACGTGATATAGGGATTGGTTTTATTTCTCAAACTACTCCAGTTAATTTCCTGTTAGCAGGGCCAGCAGTGTTTCCTGTCATCTTGAGCGCATATTGAGCATTAGGGTTATTGTATCTCTCATGTGTTTTTATATTTTTTAAACAGATGTAAGCTCGATGATGGAACTACCAAAAAACAGCATTGCTACGGTGGTCAGGAAGGATATAGGTAAGACTTTTGATGATGATGCATAAGTAATGCATGTCTGACTTAAAAAAGAATGATCTGTCAGCTGTGTTTTTATTTGCTATTCTAATTTCTGTGGAAATCACTTATGTACTTATTGTGTTGCATTAAAAATAAAACTGAACCTGAAAACTTAGATTATTTAGTATTTACTCTACTTTTGCTATTTTCAGTAATTTTCAAATTGGCACCATTGTCATCAGAATCTCAGACTTGGGAAATTAATGAGTTGAGAAGACTGTCAAACCATGAAGATGACATCAGGGCAATAATCAGTGTAAATGGTAAGTTCATCTTTATATTATTGAGAATTATCTACATTAGTCGCATTAATAGTTTATTCTTCAGTTGAAAATGCACGTTGATGGAAGGCAGTACAATCCTTTCCTGGGATGTTGGAAGTTTTTTTTTATTAATTCATAGGATGATGGCACCACTGGCCAGGCTAGCATTTATTGTGCATCCCTAATTGCCCAGAGGGCAGTTAAGAGTCAATGACATTGCTGTGGATCTGGAGTCACATGGAGGCCAGACCAGGTAAGGATGGCAGTTTCCTTCCCTAAAGGACATTAGTGAACCAGATGCATTTTTCCAAATTGGATTCATGGTTGTCATTAGACCCTTAATTCCCAAGTTCTATTGAATTTCAATCCCACCATCTGCTGTGATGTGATTCGACCCTGAGTCCCCAGAACATTAATTGGGTCTCTGGATTAACACTCCAGCAATAATACCACTACCCCTACCACTAGGTCATAGCCTCCCCCTAATCCAGTAATCCAGAATTATGCACCATAAAATGTATAGAGGCAGGTCTTCAAGACGATCATTATTAGGGTAAATTTTTACACTGCTTACAGATTGGGAGGAGAAACCAAGTTGTAATGAGATCAGAAACTAGTGATCCTGGCAGACTTGAAACTGAGCATCTACCATTTACTGTGGAAGGAAATGGTTGCTAAAGAACATCAAAAGAGTACATTTAAAAAAAAACTGCAGATGTTGGAAATCACAGGCAAAATAGAAGTTGCTGGAAAAGCTCAGCAGGTCTAGGCAGCATCTGAGCAGAGAGATCCAAGTTAACGTTTCAGGGCCCAGTGAGCCATCCTCAGAACGGAAAACCCTTCACCACATCATACCTGCCAATTTCAATTTGCATTACAACTCATTCATTTTGTTTTGTATACTGCGTGCATTTAAATACAACATCCTCAGACCTGCCTTGACTGCCCCCTTCTCATACTTGACCCCTTATCTGTTCTGCCTGAAGTTAGATTCCTGACCCTTTCCATACTCTCTTTTATTACTTGTTCTGGAAACTCTAAAACTCTGTGGAGCCCCCCATTAATTATTCCTATTATTTTCCATGCGACTGAACCCACAATTTAGTTTAAAGCCCGACTCACAACCGTGTGTCGGCACGGTTATGCAATTTGCCAGAACTCTGGACCTCGCATGATTCAGGTGGTGCCTGCCCCATTGGAATATCTCCCTCCTTCCCCAGTTACTGGTGCTAATGTCCCATTAATTTGAAATTGTTTCTCCCACGCCAATCTTTGAGCCGCGCATTTTTCTCTTTAATCTTGCTGACCCTGTGCCAATTTGCTCATGGCTCAGCACCTTCCAGACCCACGAGCAGGACCATCTAGAAGGACAAGAGCAGTAGGTACATGGAAACACCACTATCTGGAAGTTCCCCTCCAAGCCGCTCACCATCCTGATCTGGAAAAATGTCACTGTTCCTTCATTGTCATTGGGTCAAAATCCTGGAATTGCCTCCCTAATGGCATTGTTGGTCAACCTGCAGCAGATGGTCAACAGCAGTTCAAAAAGGCAGCTCACACCACCTTCGCAAAGGCAACTAGGGACGTGCAATAAATTCTGGCCTGGCCATATTCCATGCCCCACAAGTGAATAAAAAAATATGTCCCAGTGACCAATGTGAAGCTAACTGGCCTTTCCCTGTCTCCCTCCCTCTTTGAATTAGGGTATTACATTGTCAGTTCGCTAATCCTCTGTTACTTTTCCAGAATCAAAGGAGTCTTGGAAGATTAATGTCAGTGCATCCAATATCACTGTAACTACTTCCTTTACGTTGGAGGCAATGCATTACTTGGGTGCAGTTGCAGGAGAAAACGAGGAATCATACCAACCAGACAAATCACTAGCACTATATAAAAGTAACTGAAGTTACAAAATGTAGTCCATCACCTGCTTCATGTTTCTTGTGTTTGTGTATGTTGAGAATTGATAGTCTTCAAAATTTCTTTGCTGGTTTCATTGGATAGATGTTAAATAGGCATTCTTTCATCATGGCGGCAATCATTTTGGAGAATGTACCACTACAGCAGCATTTCACAATGCTCAATTAGAAAGGAGATAAATTTTCAACAATGTTATGTCAGCCTTTTGATGCACATACAGCTAGCGTGGCACTGATGTTGCAGTGCTGATTCAGCCTGAACCAGCATAAAATTTGAGAGCAGTGATAATACAGTGGACCATTGGTGGTGTCTCCCTTATTTTGCATGCTTATCATAGTGCCCCTGCTGTTTTTGAGTAGTTTCTGTTCTACCAATTTGGAGACAACAGCTGTGTTTGCTCAATTGTCCGCAAGTAGTTGTGTCAAGGATTGCAGAATAATGTTGCTGTGGGTGTCCTTACAGCCCAAGAACTGCAGTGGTTAAAGAAAGCAGCTCACCACCCCTTTCTCCAGGTCAGTTGGAATTGGGTGATAATTTCAAGTCTGGCCACTGACACCCACGTCACATGAACAAATGTAAAACAAAATCTAGTGCCATTAGATGTTTCTTCGTCTACTTTTCAGACTTGCACAACTTCTTATAAAGTTGAGCTGTTGTAAAAGCAAGCTTACTTGATTATGTATATTAAAAAATTGCAAATATTGTTCCCCCAAAAGCAAACTTATTTTCGTATTTAAAAAGTTTATAAGTTGCCAAAAGCACTGCTGTAAAACAAAAAGGAAAAAAATCCTCAAAAGACTTTTTGAGTTTATGCTAGTTTAGCTGCTGTTGTGGCCATTCAAAATTAAGATATAGCAAACAGCGTCTTTAGGACCAAGAGTGTGCTGGTTGATCAAATATTCCGGTTGAACAAGATGTCTACACAATCAAGGCAAAAGCACACATTAAGAAATAGAAATTTAATGCAGGGTGTATACGTATCAATGTTGTACTTCATTTACAACTTAAATCTCTTAAATAATAATGCAAAATTGCTTTAAATAAAATTTACCAGTGGAGATCCTTTTTACTCACACCTTCAACTGACTACTCAGACATCACTGAGATTGCCATAATACAGTAAACGTCTGGTAGTTCAAGTATATTATTTCTCTGGTTTATCAGAGTGCTAGTTCATAAGGTGCTGATTAAAACAAAGTTTGCTGTACAATGGAATAAATTGAACTTGGCCTTAGAATCAGAAAATAATTAATTAAATATTTTGCATAACATTTAGTGTTAAGGGAAGCTTTCAGCCTTGTTTATTCCACAGCCACTGAGCTGCCGTCTTTTACTCATCATGCCTTATGTCTTCTCAGACCTTACCTTGTCCACAAAACCCAGATCCCACTCCCAACCCCATTCTGAATAGGTCGCTTGTCACTTAACTTTCGTTCTTAGCTCCCATGCTGGTTTTTACCATTAATAGTTCTTTCTTCTCTGGAACTGAGCAAAGCGCGCTCATCTCCACTTTTTAATAACAAAACAATGCTTGAGTCCTTTGCCTTTTTGCACTACCACCCAAATTTCAGAATGTTGCTTCTCAGATCTATTTCTTTTTTTCCATCCTCCATCAACTTCAACTCATTCACAGCTGTGCTGCCTGGATCCTATTCGGTAAGAAGTCCCAATCAAGTGTCACCCCTTTTGCCACTGACCTACACTGGTTTGTGATTCCTCAATACCATAAATTTAAAAATTTACTCCTTTGGATCATCTGTTACTTTATCTGTGATCACCCCACTGCTAGAATTTTGATTTTTCTGACTTTAACTGATAGCTGCCATTCATCCCTTTCAAAACTGGCTTGATAGTGTGGTTTTGAACATTTTGTTTTAAGTGTTTAGTATCGTGGCTGCCTTCTTTGCAAAAGATCATAATTTTGTTCAAAATTATTGTGGAAATTAGTATTGATTAAGACTTGTAATAACTTCTGATGGCAGTCTGGAGATAAATTTCTCTCCTGAATCTCAAGCAGATATCATGTGATGATGCTTTCACTTTAAAAAGATTATTTGGTCCTGACTTTATTTGAGGAGAGGTTGTAAAGGCAGAGGTGTCAATCTGGTTTTTGAAAATGGCTTAAGTAAATAACTTAGGAAGCCTTTAGGTTTTTTGTAAAACTGTTGGAACAATGGAAAGGGAGTGGCCAGCTTTCTCAGACCAGGCTTTCTAGTGTTGTTTTAGCTGTAGCAGTCAGAAGCTGTTTGGGTTCTCAGAAGAATTGGAGCTTCAGTGAATGATTCCTCTGAACTTCCTCTACTTCCTCTGAAATCTCTCTGATGTTGTTTCCTGCTGGATTTGAGAACTACGTGTAAGAATCTGTGTCTGAATTTACCTTTTTGTCAGGGGGTATGTTTACGGGGTGTTACTGTATTGGAACAGTTAATTAGTAATAGGTGCTGTATATTTTGTTCAGTTAAGTTTTCCAATAGTTAAATTATTCTGAATTCCTCTTTCTTTTGGTTGTATTTTAACTATACTGTTTAAATAAATTGTGTTCTACTTAACGTCAAGTAGTTTGAGCGATTGCATCACATGTGGAATGCATACTTCACATCTACCTTTAAAATAAGAAAAGGTTAGGGTCTTGGTTACTTTCTTAAAGTATTTTGAGGGGGTCCGAACTGGTCCATAACAATCCTGATTTCACTGCTGCTGATTTCTGTTGCTGATTTTAGCAGCAGATCCAAGTGTTGGTAGAGTTCTTGTTCATATCGTAGGTTTTCAGAAGAATATTCTACATGCAAGCTTTTAATCAAACTCTTTGTGTCAACTAAAATCAGTAGTCAAACTACTGTAATACCAAGGTGTTTTGAGTTTTGGTTTCACTGGAATCTTGCCATGGTGAATTGTTTATTTCCATTAACAGATAATATATTTGCAACTGGATCCCATGTGGGTGAGTTAATAATTTGGGACAGCCTGGATTGGTCAGTTCGAGCATCGGAATCTCAGTTCTGGAATTCTGCCCAACAGTCTGATAAACCAGCTGAAATAAAGATATCGTTGACCCCAAACCAGCATGAAACGTGCATCCATCATCTGTTTTCAGATAGAGAGGTAAAGTAAAAGCCAATGCTATTTATCCCAAAATCCAATAAATTTTGTTTAATATTCCAAATGAATTTTATATTTAATGCTGTCAAATCAGCACTATGAATGAAGGTTAAAAGGCCCATCTGCTGGCTACAATGACAAGAACTTTGGCAAAGGATTTGCTGTTATTCAATTAGTGTGGAGCTTTGTTGAGAAATATACAATTCATGTTGCGTTGTGTACCTTTCCTTTTCTGTATTGAAATATGATGGCAAGAGCTTTACTTAAAATAGATTCATAAAAAGTATGCAAATATCCAAATCCTACTCACTCCTATTCTATTTAACTTGTGAATCATCTAGTCTGCTCATCAGATCAATCATTACGGTTTTCCAAATTCTTCTGTATAGCGATTCTACACTACTTTATAATGATATGCTGTTAAACTAAAGATAAGTTTGTATCTCTTTTTTCCTTGTAGAATGTTTTTGCTGCCATTGGAACTGGAATTTATGTGTATAATCTTCAAACAAAAACAGTGATCGCGTACCAGCAAGTGGCACATGATTCACGTGTGTTGCACATTGCAAAGTTACCGAACAAGTATGGAAGCTTGCTTCTCAATTTTATGCTAACCTATTTTGGGTAAAACAGCGTGCACTTATTACGTGAAACAGGAAGAAATACTAAATGAAATACAAAAGTTTGTGTTTTCTTCAAGCAGTTCAAATCTATATTAATAATCCTGACCATTCTTTTAAGATACATTGATATTAATTGCATTTATTTTAAATGGTCCTGCAGTACCATTTTGGAAGATGTAGTTGGTTTTTAGTCTGAACTTTTGACATTCAGTTAAGTTCTGCTTTACAAAAAGTTCTCCATTTCCATTTAAAATAAAGTGGGGGCCTTTGCTGTACTTCTAGATACATTTCCTTTTCCATTTCTAAATTTTGCAAAAATTAAGATGCACAAAAATCCATTTTTTTAATATATACTGCCATTTTACTGAATCTGTGGAAACTTGGATCAGTGTGTTCTGGTCATAAGTATTTAGCACAATTTCCATTGTTCACTTAAAACTGTTGCCAGAACACTTTGAGCAAAACACAAAAATGAACATTTAATGTACGTTAAGTAACAACAAAACTATTTTTTCTTCTGTTTCTGTGAAAGTAATATTAATATTTCAATATGTTTTGCAGCCAACTGGTTTCCTGCTCTGAGGATGGCAGTGTTCGCCTCTGGGAATTACAGGAGCTCCCGCCAGCCGAGCCTGCCACGTCAGGTTAATGTACCTTTTGTGTTACGTGCGTTGGTAGATTTAAATTAGTCCACAAACCTTGACTTGCTGCCTGTTCTTAGCTGTCCTTGATTAGGTGGTAGTGGGCTTCTGCCCTAAACTACTGTTATCCACATAACAGCTACTTAGAGCATTCTAGAATGTTGATCCTTGTGTCTTCAGGGTGATGGCTTGGGTGAACCATTCACAGTAGATTGCATAGACCCTGAACTGGTCTAGCATGTGGCTAGGCCTAGACCTAGTTCAGTTTCTGCCTAATCGTGAACCCATGATGTCCAATGAATTTCATGACATTGCATGTGAGAGGGAAGTGCTTAGGTTCTCTTGCTGGCAATGGTCATTGCCAAACACTTGTTTGGCACATATCCTACTTGACAATTATCACCCAAAGTCTGAGTTTTATGCAGGTCATCCGCTTTTATTATGTAAAGAATTGCTATTGGAACTGACCACTACTGGACTGACTACAATCATCAGCCATAGTCCATGATAGACCATATGATGTTGGATATTTCATTGATGTAACAGCTGAGGTAGTTTGAGTTAAGGCTTTGGCTCGAAGAACTCTTCATATGATGTCCTCAACCTAATACGATTGGTGTCCAGTTATAAGTCCAGTCACTTAAGAGATTTCTCCTAATCAACATTAACCAATTTTATTTGTGTTCCTTTGTGCTACACACAATCAAACACTGCCATAATGTGAACAGCAGTCACCCTATCTCTGAAATTCAACTACACTGTCCATGTTGGAATGAGATGTCGGGAAGAATATTTTTTTCATTCTCTCACTGGACCAGCATTTATTGCCTGTCCCTAGTTGTTCTTGAGAAAGTAGTGGTGATCTGCCACCTTGAACTGCTGCAGTCCCTTTTGGTACAAGTATACCCACAACGCTGTTAAGGGGGAACGTATTGGTGAAATACTTCCAAATAAGGATGGTGAGTGGCTTTGGATGGAACTTGCATATAATGGTTTTCACATGTGTCTGCTGCCTTTCATTCTAAATGGTAGTGGTCATGAGTTTGAAGGTTGCTGTCTAAGGAGTCTTGGTGAATTTCTGCATTGCGTCTTGTAGGTGGTACGCACTGCTGTAACTGAACATCAGTGGTGGAGGGCATCAATGTGTGTGGATGAGAGAGAATGGGCAACTTTTTCCTAGATGGTGTTAAGCTTCTTGTGTTGTTGGATCAGCACTCATCCAGGCAAGTGGAGGGTAGACCACTAGTAGACAGACTCTGGGGAGGCAGGTGGTAAATTACTTACCACAGGATTCCTAGTCTCTGACCTGCTGTCATAACCGCAGTATTTATATGGCTAGTCCAGTTCAGATTCTGGTCTTTGATAACCTCGGCATATTGATATTTGGGAATTCAGCAATTGTAATGCCATTGACTCTCAAGGGGTGATAGTTAGATTCTGTTTTGTTAGAAATGATTGTGCTACTATTATGTTTCATTTAATAAACTGATAAACTCTGGGAATCCAAAGCTAGTCTCTGTAATGGTGATCATGAGACTATCTTCAATGGTCATAAAATCTCATCTGGTTCAGTAACTACTTTTTAAGAATAAAATCTGCCATTCTTGCCTGGTCTGGCCTACATGTAACTTCAGGCCTACATGTAAATTAAGATTCATAGCATTGTGCTCTTTGAAATTGCCTAGTAAGTCATTCAAGACTATTTAAGGATGGACAACAAATGTCACAGAGGCTCATTGGTTCAGAGGGAACTGCTGCCTCACATAATCCAATAGCTTTTGTCAGTGACTGGTTTGGGCACCTTATTGCTCTGTGCTGTGCACACAATATAGAGTCATCCTGACGCATTTGCTATACACTTGACCCGGTGCATAATGGTAGCTGTTTTGATAAATTATAAATTATAAGTTATAAATTGAAACAATAATGTTTAATATTAAAGATTTAAAGAAGCAGTGATTTTTTTTTTATTTCAATCAATTATTTTGACTCTTGTATTTTCTGACTGACCACAGTGAGAGAGCTGTTGCAACTACTAATAATTTTCAGTTGCGACTATTTTGGGTGAGGAAAGTCCAAGCAACGATCAGTTTTGTACACTTTAGGTAGGGGTACTGATGGAGTGGTGCATATTCAAGGAAATGTTAGCACAGTATGAATGCTTTAACTCATTCATGCCATTACTTTGTGCATTTTTACAGTGTAAAATGGCCAAATGCCAATGGTGCACGTTTCTAGCAAACCTTGGGCTATAGAAATCAGCAATTCTATCTTGTAATTAAAGCTTTTTTTAAAAATATTGCATGGTTTTGATATTTGTAGTTTTATTTTGGTATAGTTTTTGAAATTTACAGCAGAAATGACAAAATAAATCTGTTAAATTGCTTTTTTTTAAAAAGAGAATTTGCTTTAACTCACTTTTTACGAAGCTGTGAAGAGTGGTGTAAATATTGAGCTGATTTTGTAAAGTATTTCCTTTTACTCCCCACCTTCCTCAGTCTCTGCTTAAACTAATTTACAGGCTACCAGATCAAAAATCTGGCATGAATCAGTCCAATTGCAGTCAAAAGCTTTCAAAATGCACCTGTTTTAAACCTGCCCAGAAGGCCGGCTCACTAGCACAGTATAGTTAGCACCAACTCCCAATGGTGATTAGTTCACCCTCAGATTGTGGCCAATTTAAGCTGAGCCTGCTTCTATTGTGATATTTTTAGAAGTACTTCAAAAATCACGGAAATTGAAATACAAATAGCACTTAATGTTCTGTGATCTTTTGCGCTGATGTTGGCCAAATTACAGTGAAAGAACAGTAGAATTGAGTCAAAATTGCAGGCCATTGACAGTAATTATCTTTCAAACTGAAGGCCTGGTACAAGCTGCAGTGTAAAATAACAGCAATAAAAAGGGATTGTGTTTTGCTGTTTAGGCTGTTACATCTGAACTTTGCGGTTTTTTCCACCAATAGTTTAATTCAGCCAGCATAATTTTGAAAGGAGGAACCCAATTCACCATACAAATTTGACTTTTATACCATGTTTCCTGACAGACATCCATCCTGATAAAAGTGAATTGATGGAATCTATACATTAGATAGGTAGGGAGTCCCAATTTTTATAATACATAAGCCAAGTTATACTGACATTCCCATTTTTAAAACCCTTCAGGAAAAGTGTTCTTCTTTCCAGTTTTTAACAAGAGCTTAAAGAGGGGTGAGAGTAAATCATGTGGCCTATTGTGCCTGCACCACTATCAGTACAATCATAGCTGATCCTCGGTTTCAGCACCAGTTTCGTGCATGCTCCCAATATCCTTTGATTTAGTGAGATCAAAAATCTATCTGGGCACTCTTCAATGTCTTCAACAATAGAGGCTCCTCAACTCTCTGGAGCAAAGAATTCCAAAGACTCTCAAACATCTGTGAAGTCATTTCTCCTCCTCTCAATTCTAAATGATCAGCCACTTATTCTGAGACTGTGCCTCAGAGTTTTAGATTCCTTGACCAATTTCTACTTTATCAAGCTGTTTCAGAATCATGTATGTTTCAATGAAATCACCTGTCGCTCTTCTAAACTCCTGATAATATAATCTCAATTTGCTCACCCCTTCAATCCAAGAACTAGTTTAGTGAACCATCACTGCACTTCCTCTAAAGCAAGTATATAGCTTCTTAAATGTACGGATGAAAACTACACACAATATTCCAGATGTTGAAGTTGTATAAGGTTTTGTTGAGATTACCAAGACTAATTAAAACTTATTTCCATGTGATAAAGGCCAACAAGCTATTTGTCTTCCTAATTGTTTGCTGTACCTTCATGCTAACTTTCTGCATGCCTTGCACAAACACACCTAAGTCCCTCCAAATGTTAGCACTAAATTTGTTTTTGATAAAACCTCTGCACTCATTATTATTATTATGCCTTGGGCTTTGCTGGCATAGATCTCTCACTTTTATGAATTTGCTGCATAACTGTAATGAGATTATCTATATTGTATTTGTTTTTAGGGCTTTTTAGCATGTGGGGAATTGGCAGACCAAACAAGCAGCAAAACCAAATGGCAAAACGCAAGTCGGAATGTTCTGTATTAAAGACCCTGGAGTTAACTGGTGATTTGATTGGCCATTCAGGTGCAGTGCGAGTAAGTAATTGTGGAGCATGAGTACATTTTATTCATATTATTGCCTGTGTTAACTTACAAAAAAGCTTTTCAGTATTTCTGATTTCTCATTGGAATGGGGGTGGGTGGAGAAGACTGGCTGTCATTGTGAACTACATGGAGTCTAATATAAGACATTCCAATGTCCACCTAGCAGAGTGGTTTTTGAGTGATTGATGCAGGGTATACTAGCTAGAAAGAAGTTGCTGCATTTGGGCAGCCTCTCTTGCCTTTGCATGTGGAAGTTATTTCTCCCAGGCTTTGAGGTCCCTGCTATGGGTCATCCATTTGGCTGAAGCAAAAAGAAACCATATGTTCACAGTTAGAGATAGTAGGAACTGCCAATGCTGGAGTCTGAGATAACAAGGTGTAGAGCTGGATGAACACAGCAGGCCAGGCAGCATCAGAGGAGCGGGAAAGCTGATGCTGCCTGGCCTGCTGTGTTCATCCAACTCCACACCTTGTTATCTCATATGTTCACAGTTACCTGATAAACCATAATTAGAGTTTTAGATTGAAAATTCCATCCCTTCAAACTCTTACCCTCAGCCAGCCAAAGGCTGAGCTGTCACATTGATAGCAATGATGAATTATGTTGTCCTTGTCTGTTTCTTATCTTACAGTCATATAGCCATACAGCACAGAAACAGACTCTTCAGTCCAACCAGTCCATACTGAACATAATCCCAAACTAAACTAGGCCCATCTGCTTGCTCCTGGACAATATCCCTTCAAACCTTTCCTATCCATGGATTTATCCAAATGTTTTTTAAACATTGTAATTGCACGCACATTCACCACTTCCTCAGGTAGTTTGTTCCATACACAAACTACCCTCTGGGTAAAAAATTTGCCCCTCCTGTTTTTTGTTTTAAATCTCTCTCCTCTTACCTCAAAAATGTGCCTGCTAGTCTTGATATCCCCCATCCGAGGGAAAAGACAAGTAGCATTAATCTGGAGGCTCCCAAGATATTTTTTGGAATATTGACATTACTCTTGCTTGCTATGGGAGCTGGTTTTCTGCGTTCTGACCTGTTTCTCTCATGCTTTGGAGAAGGAGTCGACAGTGCCCTGGAGCTTAGTTTCTGACTGTGTGCACTTAGAAGGGTCATCTTCATACTGAAGCTCGGTGACTGGGATTACAGCAATTTTGATGTTGCATTGAGGGTGGCATGAGTTTAACAGTTTCTTGTGTGTTCTTCCAGTTATCTGTATATCTGTGATTAATTTTCTGGAAATGAGATGCTGTATTCCACCAGGAATTGGGAATAAATTGCAAGGCAATGTTAAAATCGAACTTTTTTATGTGAAATTGGTTAGGCCACAGGTGCATTAATGACAACCAAAAGTAAACGAGCTTTTTTCAATACGTATTAAATGTGCTTTCCCTCTGCTCCATGCTGGCAGCTTGAGCAATGGCCAGTCTTGCTTTTGAGGTCACAAAAGGAACATCCTACAAAAAACTTCACTAATTCCCTAGCCACTTGGTTCTTTACTCTCCGATTTTACTCTTGGAATCCATAGAATCCCTCTACAGTGTGGAAGCAAGCCAAATCCAAACTGTCCCTCCGAACAGCATCCATCCCAAACCCAAGTCCATCCTTGGAACCTAGCCTGCACGTCCCCGCACACTGTGCGCAATTTAGCATGGTCTATCCACCTAACCCGAACATCTTCGGACTGTGGGAGGAAACCAGAGCACCCGGAGGAAACCCATGCAGACAAGGGGAGAATGCGCAAACTCCACACAGACAATCGCCTGAGGCTGGAATTAAACCCAGGTGCCTGGTGCTGTGAAGCAGCAGTGCTAACCTCTGAGCCAAGGTGCCGCCCCATAATGCTGCTGAAGTTACCTTACTCTCTGCCTATCCCACATTGTTATCCTGATCCGGACATCCATTATATTATTTCCTGTGAAGCCATTCTGCTCTGTCTAACGCATGTTAACCTTTTTGAACTGATCCTCATTTTTCTGCTGTCCTTAAAACCTGTTAATTGTTGTCCTTTAAATGCCATTTATGAAGTCTGAATTCATCAGAGTCCTTATCACAACTTCTATAATTGTTTTCTTCATGCCTGAATAGTATGTATTCGAAACAAAAGTGTTGGCTCAGCTCATTTGTCATGATGCTTATATGCATTGCAGTACAGGTAGCCAACTGCGTCTTAAAAGAACATAGAATCCCTACAGTGTGGAGCATCCCACCTAGACATAATTTTAGGTCCTAAACTCTCCCATGTCCCAGCCCCCAACCCCACACACCAGGCCCTGTTACCACATAGCCTGCCATTACACACCCCCTGTGTCACTCACAGTCCCCATTAACAACTATTCATCCTCCCAGCCTGATTATTATCAACTCTTTGTCTGTCTAACTGCTCTTCTCTTTCTTTAGGCTCTATCCTATTATTTACTCCTTAACCCATCCCGCTCCCCCTTTATTCTGCATATAAACTGACACTTTCCCAGCCACCATCAGTTCTGAGGAAGGGTCACTGGACCCGAAACATTAACTCTGTTTTTACCTTCACGGATGCTGCCAGACCTGCTGAGCTTTTCCAGCAACTTTGTTTTTGTTCCAGCCAGACCCATCCCTTTATAACCCACCTAAGCTACACATCTCTGAACACTACGGGCAATTTAGCATGGCCAATCTGCCTAACCTGCGCATCTTTGGACTGTGGGAGGAAGAGTCATTCAGCATGGTAACAGAACCTTTGGTCCAACTCATCTGTGCTGACCAGACATCCCAATCTGACGTAATCTCATTTGCCAGCATTTGCACATATCTCTCTAAACCCTTCCTACTCTTTTCCATCATTTACTGTATTTTCCAAACACTGGCATTCATTTGAAGTCTGTATGTCAGTAAAAGCTCGAAGTGTTCTGAAGTGAAAGAGCTTAACATTATTCTGTTGCTGTTTTCTTTCCTAGACAAAATTTTTAAATTAATTCTGATAGCCTTAAGCAATGGAGCAAGGTGTGCTTGCTATGTTACATTTTGATTTGTTAAATCCTAGATGTTCCTGTATTTTGAAGACCATGGAATAGTAACCTGTTCTACGGATCACCTTATCATTTTATGGAAAGATGGAAAAAGGGAATCAAAGTTGAGAAGCAAGACATTATTCCAAAAATTGGAACGGGAAGAACAATATGATGCTTAACATTTGAGATTATTGTGAAACTTATAATGTGAACATTGCATGATGGCACTAATGACTCTGAGACCTGCAGCAAGTGTATTGATATAAATCTTTGCAATGTTAATATTTCAAAGACTTGCTGAGAAATTAAAGCTGTAAATGTGGCTTGATAATTTAGATCTTAAATTGTAAGTCGATTTTCTGCTAAACTCTGACCTCTTACCAGTTCTGAATTTACATAATCTTAATGTTGCAAATTGTCTACTGAACCAATAATTTTGTTAGTATGATTTGTAAAAGTTTACTTACTTATTCAGTGTACAGAATTGTGTTATAAAACTTGTACTATAAAATATCTGGCAATAATCTTTGTCATAAAACAAAAGTTTGCAATATTTTAAAATAATATTTTTAGCTTAAATATTTTCTTGTGGCCAGCTGTGTAACAATTGAAATTATGTAAATGAGTGTTAAAATATAAGATTTGCATGTTTGAAAGTTCCATGTTGCTAAAGTCAGAGGGCTGACAAATTATTTACATCCGCAGCAATCTTTTCGAGGATTTGTTTACTGCTGCAAATTGTGTGCATTGTCTTTGATGGAAATGATTTGGAAGGTCCACGACTTAATGTTGCCTGCACCTGGAACTAAAATGACTAATATTTACTTGGATCATTTTGTCTCATTAGTACCATTGTCTACCTGCTTCATTGATCTATCAGTTGTCTCCTTTACTAAATAAGTACAGAAGAAATTTTTCATTAATCAAATCAAATGAGTTTGGTTGAAGAAGGACTTGGAGCCTATTTATTTCAGTATGTCCAAAAGACCAAACCTACCAGTTGAGTACATTAATGTTGTTCCTAGCTGATCAGGTCCAGTTTAATGTATCCTGAAGTTCTCGTATAGCTTGAGCACAATCTTCTTGCCAAAAGACAAGAGTGTTTTGTCTGAATGAATCTTGATGTTAAAACTGCTGCGTAAGGAATTGGACAAAAGGTGACCAAATTTATTTTAAATAACAAGGTGTAGAGCTGGATGAACACAGCAACCCAAGCAGCATCAGAGGAGCAGGAAGGCTGACGTTTCGGGCCTAGAC